AGCACTTTGAATTGCATCCTTGTTGAGTAACCGGGTGTTGTCATCACAAATGTTGGCATTCGCGTAAAAAGGAAATTGTGGCATTACAAAGAAGTTAAACAAAAAAAAAAGAATAAGAATAAAAATCAGAAGAATGGGGAATTAGGTGTCAAACTGAGAAGAAGTTGAGTCTTAAGTCTGATTCCATATGTTGATTTTTCATTAGTGGAGAAGGAGTCAATAGGTCAACATATGGAGACACTTCTAGGCTTGATGATCATGGTCTAGTTTGAAGTGGATGATCGAGGAGGAAGCATTATTGATGCGCTTACACACACACATACTAGGGAAGAGCATTTGACTTGAAAGGGGAAATAGGTCGATCTTATAATTCAAAGAGAGTTGGTGTAAAGCTTAAGCGTGTAAAAGAAAATAAAAAAAAAATAGAAGAAAAGAAAAGAAAGCCTCTGAGAAACTTAACCACACACCTTGAACCCACATGGTTGACTGAAAAAGGAATTCTCTTAGTGTCATTTGTTTTTGTGTTGTTTTTGTAGTGTCATTGCTCGAGGACAAGCAATACTTTAAGTTTGGGGGTGCGATAACTCTAAGAATTTAGAGTTATTTTAGGCATCTCTGGGCTTATAGTTTGCTCATCCAAAGGTTTAGTTGTTAATTTTCTGCTTTATTTGCTCAACTTTTGGTTCATGTGGTGCACTCGGCTGAGATTCATTTATGTGTGGCTTTTGTGGTAATTTTGAAGAAAACTGTTGATGTGTGTCCAAAAGGTGTTGTTTCTATTTTGTAGGTTTTGTGAGGATAAATGTTGCAAAACTTGCTAAAGCAAAAAAATGACAACATGCAGTTAGTGGATGACATCAGTGTATAACTTTGCATGAGAATTAGGACAAAAAGCACAGAAGATAGATTTGGTGCTGAGTCAGCTTGACGCAACCTCTGAGTATGAGCCACCTTAGCATCCTTGGTTGCCCTAAAGAGGAATGCATCTGAATTCTTAACAAAAAAAATAAGGGGCACCGTAGGAACGAAGGGGGGCAAGCGAGAGGAGAAAATAGAAAGAGGACCCAAGTAAGAAACAGACAGCAGGGAGCAAAAAGGAAACCAGAGAGAAAGAAAGAAATGAAGACAAGTACGGAGGAGACGAATTTGGAGCTAGAAATCTCAAGGAGTGAAGCCACGAGAGGAGACCACCAAGCTTCATCTTGTCTTTACTGTTGTTCTCCTCATTTTGGTTTATCTTTCCTCTTCCTCTGTATTTAAATCATGGCTATTCATTTTGTTCAAATTAACAGAACAAGTATGAGCATAATTAACTTGGCTAGGATGATAAAGTACCCGGACTTGTAATTAACGTTGTGTATGCTCACTTTTGCTACATTAATGTTGATCTAGTTTGTTCAATATAATCGTTATTGTTGACGGCTAATTTTTGTCAACAGAAATACGCCGACTTACCCACTGGTATCCCGTTGGGTTACCGGCTGAAAATTAACTGTATATTTGAAATTATGCTATGAAGTGTTTGTTGTATTTTTAGAAGCATGAGAATAATACTTGAATGAGAGGACACACGAAATTTATAGTGGTTCACTCTATTAATGAAGAGCTACATCCACTTGTGTATTGTATTTCTTCTTCTTTCAATTTACATGTATGGTTCTTCTTCCTCTGATTGAATACTAAAGAAGCCAATATCTCTCTTTCATGTATGGGGCTTTGCCCCTTTTATAGCTCAAGGTTCCTTCGTAGGCAGTTCTCCTTTGTAGGTAGAAGTACTCGAGTGGCCTACCTTTCTAGGCCCAGACCGTAGCCCACTAATCACCTTTTAAATTGTTCACTCAGCCAATTGGTCGTCCATTACGGCTCTATTGATTCCTGTAATCCTTCACTGCCCACCGTAGGGTGGTTTAAGGGTTTGTAATTAATGCATGTAATGCAGACATCTCCCGTCCCTAGACACAACTTATGATGTCAGGCTCCTTTCAGAAAAGTATTCCCCTTGTCATCCCTAGACCTCATGTCCTTCTTGGCAGTCGACCCTTTCCAATCATAGGAATTTTGTTGCCATTAGATCGACGGCACGACTGGTCGATGGTAGGCCAGGTCCATGCCCTAAGTCATGCCTTCTTTACAGCGTAGAGGGGAAGCAAGCTTCAAGCGTCGAGGGTTGTCACCTTTTGAGGAAAATTAGGGCCACGTGTCACGCTGTCGCTGTTCCACATGTCACCCATATTTTCCCACACAACAGCTGCCCCCAAGGTCGAGGATTTCCTTTAGACAGCCTCGAGCTAGGTTCGGGTGTTTTTCTGTGCCTCGAGTGTGGGAACTTAATTCTGAGCCTTCCTTCGTAATGATGGTCTTGACGCTTTGGGTTTCCTCGAGGAACGTAACCGTCACGTCAGTCATTTCACCAGGTTGACGTAAGGCTTTATTTTGAAAAGGTGAATACGAGCCCTTGGATCGTGCCCCTTCACCTTCCCGCCTTTGTTTGCTGCCGTCAGATTTGGGCAAAATGCCCCTGCTGTTGGATTTTATGAACTTTATCTGACGATTACGGGTCGAGGGCGTGTTTTCCCTTAAATACTCCTCAAACCGAAGTCATTTTTTCCCAAACTTCTTAAACTGCCATTACTCTGCCTGAATTCTTTCTTGTAGATCCCGACTTGCAATCCTTGCTCTTCTCGGTGCCTCGTGAAGCTATCTCAATTTCTAGACTTTGCCCAGATTCTGACTTACTGGTAAGCTTAACGATTGCTCATTTTGTTTTACTTTGACGATTTTACTGGCTTTCCTATTGAACCATACGCGTGTTAATATGTGAAATGTAGAGGATAGAGACTTTACCATGCGCTTTGTTTGACCCACGTAGGATAGTTTTTCTGATTTCTGGCTGATTATAGTCTCTGACTCTTGGGTTCTGATGAACCTCGGTTGTTATGAACATTCGCCGCTACCATTTTTATATGAATGGTCGATGTTATGTTGAGAGGCGCCAGTGGTAATTGGGCAATCATTTAGAATGGTCATCATTTACTCCTTCCTCTCGACTTAGGATTTTGACTTAGCTCTTTGTCTTTTTTACCACCAGAACAATGGCCCCAAAACCCACCCATCAAGAGGACCCATCCATTGTACGACCAGACTCGCCCAAAAGAGGGCGCAAAGAGAGGGTGCCAATGACCGAGACTTGGACGCCGGTAGTTCCAATCCCTGACGTTGCTGATATTCCTTCGGCGCCTAGGGATCGCGTGCTTATTCCGGGGACAAAATCATGGATTCCAACTTCCAAGTTCCGGACATTTTTGACGCCGAGATTGGGGCCATGCTGAAGCTTCCTCCCCGTTTCTCCCTCGTCTTCCAGGCCTTGTATGAATCATTTCTTGAGCTGTACTGGATCTCCGCTGCTAATTCTTCTCTGGTGGATCGTCAGCGCAAGCAGATTTCCTTCCAAATTCATGTAAGCTTCGACCGTGCTTTTTTCATTTTTAGATTTGTCCTTCGCATCTTTATTTTCTAACTTCCAATTTCTCAGGGCCTAGTTCTTGCCCTTCTCAACCTTATTGATCTAGTCAAGGTTAAGGAACGTGGTAAAGAGATGGACAGTCTGGAAGCCAAGCTTACATCTCTTCCTGATGATGCCAAGGAAAAGTGCTCGTTTGCCGTCGAGGAGAGGGATGTGGCCGTGGCCAAGCTAGCGAGTTTGGAAGGGGAACTAGCCAAGGTGTCGAGCCTTTAAAATGAGTTGGCCAGTTTGAAGACTACGGTCGAAGAGCTTACAAAACGGGCGGAAATTTCTAAGAAGAAATCGGCCACAGCTACTAGGGCCATGAAGAAGTGCTTTGCCGAGGGAAAGGCTGAGGGGAAGAAGGAAGCCAATGTCGAGGCCTCAACAATGTTCGATGCCAAGCTCACAGAGATTATTGAGGAGTTTAAGGCTTCCCTGGAGCTCATTGACATTCGCACCAAGGACTTTCAGTCTGCTGGACAACAGATTGTCGATCTGATTAAACAAGAGCATCTCGAGTGGGATTTGAGCTTCCTTTATATTCCTCCTCCTCCTACTGACGGCGGCAACTCTTCCCTACCTAGCGATGGTGATGACTCGGTGGCTGGCGGCGAGGCTTAGGGCTTCTCTTTTTCTTCTTTTTTTTTTGTAGACTGCTATATGTTTATTATATACATTTTATATAATATTGGAATTTCCTTTTATTTTATTTGTTTTTGAAGATAGTAGATTTCATGATTGTTCATCGCTCTCCTTAGAGGAGCAATTCATTTTTACCCCTTGGGGTCGTCGTCTTAGTAAATTCCTTAAAATTTGCTAAGTGTTCGCCTCTCCTCCTTGGAGGAGACGACGCTAACTTTACCCCTTGGGGTTGTCGTCTTAGTAAATTCATTAAAATTTGCTAGGTGTTTGCCTCTCCTCCTTGGAGGAGACGACGTTAACTTTACCCCTTGGGGTCGTCGTCTTAGTAAATTCCTTAAAATTTGGTAAGTGTTCGCCTCTCCTCCTTGGAGGAGACGACGTTAACTTTACCCCTTGGGGTCGTCATTCTTTAGTGATCCGTAGACCCCTTACTGCCCCCCATGTTTGTTTAATATACCTTAGTTTTTTAAGCGGACATGTTATTAAGGGGTAAATTTCTTTCTCATTTTTTAACAATATTTCTACAAACACATCAATTTATTTAAATTGCCAAAAATATAATTGAGATGTGTAAGAGTTACATACACTATTGGTAGTACAGCCTTAGCTATTTCACATTCCACAGGTGTCGAATTTGCTTGCCGGTGAGGTTTTCCAAAATGTAGGTGCCAGGACGCAACACTTCCCTTATACGGTAGAGTCATTCCCAAGTTGAGCCCAAAGGACCAGTATTTTTGGGTTTCATACTATGTGTCACCCTCTTCAATACTAGGTGTCCTAGGATGAACCTTCGTTGTCTAACTTTCTTATTGTAATACCGTGCTGTCCTTTGCTGATAGGCGGCGAGGCGTAGTTAGGAGTCGAGCCTTTTTTCTTCTAGCAGGTCGAGTTCTCCATTCATGGCTTCTGTATTACCGTCATCATTGTAGACAACAGTTCTTACAGTTGGTGTCTCAATTTCCACGGGGAGTACTGCCTCGACGCCATACGCCATGGAGAAGGGTGTTTCACCCGTGGTGGTTCGGCTTGTCGTTCTATATGCCCACAGGACCTTTGGAAGTTCTTCGGCCCATCTCCCCTTTAAATCGTTGAGCTTTTTCTTTAGGGTATACTTAAATATTTTGTTGACAGCCTCGACTTGACCATTGGACTGTGGATGTATTGGCGCTGAGAAGTCCTTTCGAATGCCTAAGCTATCGCAGAACCTGTGTGTTGAGGCATTATCGAATTATTTCCCATTGTCAGATACTATCGAGTGTGGGACCCCAAATCTACACACGATGTTGTTCCACATGAAGTTAGTGCAAACTACTTCAGTGGTCGTAGTTAGAGCCTTTGCCTCTGCCTATTTAGTGTAGCAGACTATTGCGACGATGGCGAACTTATAGCCACCCGGTGCGAGGTGCAAGGGCCAGATCAGGTCGATCCCTCATTTGGCAAAGGGCCATGGACTGAGAATGGGGGTAACATTTTCTGGGGGTGCTCTAGGAATTGTGGCATATTTTTGGCACTTATCGCAGCATCGAGCGTATTGGAATGCGTCTTTTTTAAGCGTAGGCCAATAATACCCCTGCCTTAAAACCTTAAAAGCTAAAGAATGCCCCCTAGTGTAATTTCCACATACTCCTTCATGGATTTCCCGGAGGACCTCCTGGGCTTCACTATCATTTAGGCACTGCTGTAAAGGCATTGAATAGGCTCGTCGGTAAAGCAAACCATCGTACAATAGGTACCTGGTGGCTCTATACCTAATTCGTCTGGCCTCGTCTTTATCATTCTGCAGCTTTGCATCCGTTAGATATTGGATAAGCGACATCATCCAATTCTCGTCCGTGTGGATGGCTAAGGCCTCAATTTTTTCCTCAATGGTCGGCTGCTCAAGTTCTTCGATAGGAACGATCCCTAGTTTTTCAGAATCCCTTGAAGATGCTAGCTTCGCCAGGGCGTCGGCGTTGGTGTTCTCAGCTCGTGGTATTTGAAGTATTTCATAGCCTTTGAACTTGACGAGTTCTTCCTTTACCTTTCTTAAGTACGCACCTATTTTTTCGTCGCGCACTTGGTATTCCTCATTTACTTGTCCCACGACCAGTTGAGAGTCGCTGAAGATGCTGAGCCTCTCATTTTTCAAGTGATTTTCCAATCGCAGCCCTGCAATCAGCGCCTCATACTCTGCTTCATTATTCGACACCTTGAATTTAAATCATACCGCCGAAGTAATCTTGTGGCCTTCCAGGCTGATCAACAGGACGCCGGCTCCTAACCCATTTTCGCTTGACGCTCCATCCACGTAGAGCTTCCACTTCGTCATCTTGACTTCTTCGTGTGTGGGGGGAGTTGGTCTATGAGAGAACTCGGCCAGGAAATCAGCTAGCGCCTGCCCCTTGTCAAACTAGCTTAACTCCATCGACCATTTGAGAAGTCGGCCAGAAGTTTTGGGTTTTTGTAACGCCTGTCTTAACAGGTGGTTTGTAAGAACCCGTATTGTGTGGGATTGAAAGTAATATCGAAGCTTCCTTGAGGCTACCATCAGGACGAACGCCAGTTGTTCCATTTCGGTGTATCTTGACTCGGCGTCGATGAGTCTTTTGCTTACATAGTAGACCGGTAGCTGGACCCTTTCTTCCTCTCTTATTAGTACGGAGCTCACGGCGTGTTGTGACACGGAGAAGTATAGGCTCAACTCCTCATCGGGGGTGGGTTTTGACAGGATCGGGGGCCTGCCCAGGTGCTCCTTTAATTTTTGGAAGGCTTCATCATATTATGGTGTCCATTCAAAACGCTTACTTCCTTTTAAAGCATCGAAGAAGGGAACGCACTTATCTGTTGCCTTTAATATAAATCTGTTCAGAGCGGCGACACACCCTGTCAACCTTTGCACCTTTTTTGGTTTAGTTGGAGATCTCATATCCTACAAGGCTTTTATCTTTTCAGGATTAGCCTCTATCCCCTGATTACTGACCATGAAACCAAGGAATTTTCCTAATCCAACTCCAAAGGCGCACTTTAGGGGGTTTAATTTCATGTGGTATCTTCTCAACACGCCAAATATTTCCCCCAAATGGTCGACATTCTGGGTGGCCTTGGCACTTTTTACAAGCATATCGTCGACGTAAACTTCCATTGATTTGCTGAGCAGTAGAGCAAACATTTTATTCACGAGCCTTTCATATGTAGCCCTTGCATTTTTCAAGCCAAAAGGCATTACCTTGTAGCAGTAGAGGCCCCTATCGGTTATGAAGGATGTGTGCTCCTCATCGGTCGGATGCATGGGGATCTAATTGTATCCAGAGTAGGCATCCATAAAACTCAGCATTTCATGCCCCGCTGTGGCATCGACCATTTGGTCTATTCGAGGAAGCGAGAAACCATCTTTCGGGTAGGCTTTGTTGAGATCACTGAAGTCGACGCATATTCTCCATGTTCCGTTAGGCTTGACCACCAAAACGGGGTTTGAGACCCATCGTGGGTAATGGGCCTCTCTAATGAAACCATTTTTGATTAACTTATCAACCTCTTCTTTCAATGCCTCATACCTCTTCGGGTTCATTGGTCGGCACTTTTGGCATTTGGGGGAGATATAAGGGGTCGATATTTAGAGAATGGCATGACTTCTGAGTCGATCCCTTCCATATCAGCATGATTCCAGGTGAAGACATCCAGGTTCTTTTTGAGGAAGCCCTCGACTTCCACCCTAAGTGATGGGGTTAAGTCTGAGCCTACTTTCAGCACTCTGGTTGGCTCGTCCTCGTCGACTTGGATCTCCACCAACTGCTCGACGGGTTGAGACCGTGTGACCTCGTCTTGGACCCTGGGGTCTATGTCCTCAATGGCGCCTTGACATACCATTCTGGCCTCCTGCCTCCCCGGCTGGTCATATCTGCGCAAGGCATCAGAATATGCAACCCTAGCCTCGTACGGGTTGCTCTTTATTTCACCTACACCGTTTGGGGTAGGGAATTTGACCTTCTGGTGGTAGATGGAGGTTATTGTCCTCAGCACCTGAAGGGTTGGCCTCCCAATGATGGCAGTGTATTGGGAGCCTCCCTTTATTACCACAAAATTAGCCATTATAGTGGCTTGTCAAGGTTTCTCCCCTGCAGTTATAGGCAACTGGATTGTCCCCCGAGGGATGATGGAGTCCCCAGTGAAACCGTACAACGGCCTAGAGGTTCTCTCTAATTGTTCCTTTGGGATCCCCATCTTTTCCAGGCAGTCAGAGTATAGAAGGTCTACTGAGCTCCCATTGTCCACTAGGATTCGGCATACAGTGTGATTTCCAATTACAGCTTCTACCACCAAGGCGTCGTTGTGGGGGAAGTGAATCTCATTGGCGTCGTCCTCATTAAACGCCATGTCAGCGCTGCTGGACCTTGTTACTTTCTCGGCGGAGATACTCCAAAACCTTTCCTGGTAAACCCCTATGGCTTCATGGGCGTAGTCTTTTTAAGATCTCCTCGAGTCTCCTCCAATATACGGACCACCGAGGATGGTCTGTATGACGCCGACTGGTTCTCGGTCCTCTAGTCGTTGATTCTCCTCTCGGCGTCGAACGTCATTTTGGCCGCCGTGGCCCTCGTTTCTTGGTCTTCACTCGGCCTTGAACTCCTGCAGCCTTCCCTCACGGATTACCCTTTCGATCTCATCTTTAAGATCAGCGCAATCATTGGTGTGGTGGCCGACGTCGCCATGGAACCTGCAATATTTTTTCTAGTTCCTTCGGCTGGATTTAACCTCATCGGCTCTGGGCGGTGCAGCAAGTTCCCGCGGCCTACCTAATTAAACACTTCCTCGACTCCTACTGTTAATTCATTGTAGGAATCGTACCTTTGAAACGGCCAAGGCTTGCGGTTCTCCTCTTGCCTCAGCTTCTTAGCTTCTGGAGCGTTCGGCGTCGAAGCAGGATGCTTGTCCCCACTTCCACCGCCTCGTCATTTCTTTCTGTCCTACTTTCTTGCAATCGACCCTTGCTCAGTCCCTTTGTTTTTGTTAGACCTGTGCTCAGGGTTGTTCGCATCCGCTTCCTCGGCATTGATGTACCCTTACGCTCGTTCAAGGAATTCTTTGTAACTGGACGGGGGCTTCCGGTTCAGCTCCCTCGTGAAGGGAGTAATCTTCTTCATCCTACATAACGCCCCCATCAAGGCCTCCCTGTCGGTTATGTCCGTCGTCGCGGCGACAGCTTCCCCATACCTTGCGAGCCACTCTTTTAATGACTCGTTTGGCTTCTGGTATATTGTTGTCAAATTCTACATTAGAGGGACATATTTTTTCACTCCCATAAACTGGAGGGAAAATGCTTCCTTCAACTCATCCCAGCTTGAGATAGAGTTTGGTTTTAGCGTTCGAAACCATCTCTGGGCAGAGTCCATTAGATGGTTTCAGAAGGCTCGGCACATGATCTCCTCGGCATATCCATGCAAGAGCATGTGCCCTGTGTACATTTCTAGGTGATCGTCGGGATCCCCTCTTCCGTCATACGGTGGGATCAACGAAGACCTGTATTTATCGGGGAGAGGTGGGGCCATAATTTCAGCGGTAAATGGGTGGTCGTGCGTCTGGCTAGGTATGATTTCGACGTTCACCACCTCGGCCACTCGTCCTATATTTTTCTTTAGGCCGGCAACATCGCCCGTGAGCTTTTGCTCTAGGCTGGCCATGCGCTCCATAATGGCTAGTGCCTCCTCCGTAGAGATTGCGAGCCAACTCCTCTCGACGCTTCTGCCCTTTGTGCGTTGGGTCCTCCCCTTGCCCGTCTGCCCACTTGCACCGACCCCGCATCTCCTGGAAGGTTTCTACCTGGGTTTTGAGGTGGCGTTCGGGGTTTCCTAGGCCTCTGGCTATTTGGCTCTCATGAGCCCGTGATTGCCGGAGGATTGGGAAGGTCGAGGCCTGGGATCTCCTCTAAGATTTTCACTGTCGCCGACTCCTTCTGGGATATCTTGGCGGTCACCGGGGTTCTGGTTTCCAGCCATGGCAGCTTCTAGCGGTCTCGGGGCGTCTTCTAGAGGTGACATCGAGTTTCTTCTATCCAAGCCCTCAACGACAGTCATCAGTCCCCGCACTAGGTCGGTCAGAGTAGTGAGCTAGGCCTGCATCTGCACAGGGTCCGGTCGCGGCTCGTCTAGGGGTGGGACTCCATTCCTAACTGGAGGTGGGTCTTCTTCCATCCTGTCGTTTGCCGGAGGTATGGCAGCTTCATCCATCTGGCTACCTTGGTTGATGGCCTCAATTCTTCTTCTTGGAGGCATGTTTGCTGACTATGTTGTTGTTGGCGGTCAAACATATAAACCAGAGATTTTGGGTTCGGTCCCCAATGGAGTCGTCAATTGTTGATGGCTAATTTTCGTCAACAGAAATACGCTGAGTTACCCACTGGTATCCCGTTGGGTTACCGGTTGAAAATTAACTTTATATTTGAAATTATGCTATGAAGTGTTTGTTGTATTTTTGGAAGTATGAGAATAATACTTGAATGAGAGGACACACGAAATTTATAGTCGTTCACTCTATTAATGAAGAGCTACATCCACTTGTGTATTGTATTTCTTCTTTGGACTCTTACAATTTACATGTATGGTTCTTCTTCCTCTGATTGAATACTAAATAAGCCAATATGTCTCTTTCGTGTATGGGGCTTTGCCCCTTTTATAGCTCAAGGTTCCTTCATGGGCGGTTCTCCTTTGTAGGTAGAAGTACTCGAGTGGCCTACTTTTCTAGGCCCTGACCGTAGCTCACTAATCACCTTTTAAACTATTCACTCAGCCAATTGGTCTTCCATTACAGCTCTGTTGATTCCTGTAATCCTTCACTGCCCACTGTAGGGCGGTTTAGGGGTTTGCAATTAATGCCTGTACTGTAGACATCTCTCATCCCTAGACGCAACTTGTGATGTCAGGCTCCTTTCTGAAGAGTATTTCTCTTGTCGTCTGCGCTGCGTAGACCTCATGTCCTTCCTGGCAGTCGACCCTTTCTAGTCATAGGAATTTTGTTGCCATAAGATCGACGGCACGACTGGTCGACGGTAGGCCACGTCAATGCCCTAAGTCAGGCCTTCTTTGCAGCGTAGAGGGGAAGCGAGCTTCAAGCGTCGAGGGTTGTCGCCTTTTGAGGAAAAGTAGGGCCATGTGTCACACTGTCGCTGTTCCATATGTCACCCATATTTTCCCACACAACAGTTATCATTCATTTTTTGTTTACTGACTGTCCATCTTAAATAAAATATTGTGAGTTCGATTTGCTGGAAAGTTGATTGGAATTAGACCAATATTGAACAATGTGTTGTTAGCTAAATTTCACAAAGAAATATAGTTTATTTGCGACTAGTATAGGAATATATATACACTTGTCTCACATAGCCCAATTGAAACCTATGCTTAACTTAACCTCTTTGTTTAGATTTCTCATAGGAATATGTTGAAATGTGAGTAAATAGGCGAAATCATAAGTAGATTGGGAGATTCCTGTGTTAAATTCGTGTTTCAAGTTAACTGACAGCATTGTTGTAGTAAAAGTCGTAGCATAAATAGCCCAGGTCGCAGTGAAGGGGAAATTGAGTCCCAGTCCTTCACATAGATTGATTTTCACCTTTAATAACTGAGTGTGTATTTATTTACTTATGTTTTCTGTAATTTTTTTAGTCTTTGTAGTTGAATCAAACCATTAAATTTGTTTATAATGCGTCTTCTGGATCTTTTTAGGAAAAATATTGATAACTTTTTCCGTATGAACGATACTCTACTCATTCACTTTATTACTTATTCGGCACGTGCACTTGCGTAGTTAATTTTACACCAACAATTAGCGACGATATTTCGTCGCAAATAAGTAAATATTTGTGACGACACATGTCGTCACAAATAATTTCGTCGCAAATTGGTCAAATTGTAGTAGTGACATCTTCAACAGTTTCGTTCACTTCCTTCTTCATCTCCTCTTCATAATCAAAATCTCTCCCTGCAGCTTCATTAACAACCTCGACAGTCATTTTCCCATAAAATTTCAAGGGACAAGAGATAAAACCCTGGAGAGAACATGGGATTTCTTTTAGGATTTGCTTTGTTGGTTTGAGGTGTGAAACAGAAACTTGTAAAAACTGCATGAATATTGTTATTGGTTTTAATTTCTCTAATTATAAGTTATAGTATTAGTCCATTAAATATCTGATTAATATCTAATTAATTATATCATGTCACGTCATATAAA